TTTGCCTCTAACACAAACATACCTTGGTATCCAACAACCCTACAGACAACGACGCATCAGTGAATAGGATTCTGTGGTGCCTCTACCCCCCGTCTACCCCCCGTCCCCCGCATGCTGGGCTGAATGAATCACATTCATTCGGTTTTCGACGTCGTTTCCAATACACGCTTGCCACGCGCTTAACACGTAACACCCGCGACTCAATCAAAATACATCGAATGCATTCCAGCGAGAAGGTCGAGGGATCTTTGCAGGTTTGCATGTCATGCAGCAATGGAGAAGACATCAGTGTGTGTACTACGACTGCAGTTATCACTCTTCCGATCGCCGTCAGTGTGTCCGATCTCTTCCTCTCTCCCCCTACCCGGTGCGTTCCTGTCTCACCAATGGCAACCCCTAGACAAAGGGTCGGTAGCGCAAGCGAAAGCAGGTGCATCTTGGTCTCGAGGTTGGACGTTGAAGGTGTTGAGCTGTCAACAAGGAGAAACAATGCACACAACAAGATTAACGTCTGAGTTGTTCCGATTCATGAGCATTTTCCATCCTCCCCACACACACGAATACACAATTGACACCGCTGCAGGCGACCACTTCTTTTGTCCCATCATGCTCCGCCATGACGTTGGGACGCCACGCACAAGCAGCACAACCATCCGTAAACTGAGACATGAACTACTGTACAGTGCTGTATACTGCACTTGTACACATTAGATGCTTCAAACACACGAGTCGCGCTTAAACCTCCATTTCCACCGAGACACAACAAACAATGTTTATTGGCTTGTTGACCACAGCCAGCCGGGATCACAACCATCTGCAGCTCGAACAGCTTAGGACACGGGGGCTACCGTGGAAGCTACACGCGACTTTGGCCGCGCGCGCCCGTGCACGGGTGCTCGGGTCCTCACGGACCACCCAGCAAACAGCCAGCAACTGACGCGGGCAGGCAAACTAACCGCATGTGAAATCACACCACGCAGACAGACACATCCAGCAACAGGCAGGTGCGAACTACGGTACTGCTGTAGACAGCCCAAGCGCGTACATGTGTATGTGTACGTGTACTGCAGCGCGGCAAGAGAATAAACGTACTCACGGTGTGACGTTGGGTTGTTAGAAGCTGTTCGAGTAGACTGTGCAGCAGTGAGTGTGAAAGCTTCTGCGTGTGAGAGGGGTCTTTTCGCGGGGTCCAGAGGGGACACTCCCTCGACCCTTGATGTCCGGGATGACTCATTTCATCAAGTTGATGAGTTAGTTGGATGTGAGGTGTAGGATGGGAGGAGATCTTCACATTTCTGGTATACTTTTTGACTCTTGAGAGCGGAACGTGGTGAAGAACGACTCTTCAATCGCTGCTGTGTTCAAGACAGCTGGTGCATGAGGATTTCGGGAATTCTCCCGAGAGGGTCATGCCCATCGCCCAATCATCTCTCTCTCTGTCTTACAGAATTAAAAAATGGACGGGTGATCGGCTCTAGACCCCTCTAAAACAAGACAGGTTGGAAGATCCTCCGCTTCTGTGTCGTACAGTAACTCCCCTCATACATATAGGTGCTCTGCCCCCATCTGTTGAACCCCCAAATTCTCCGCGTTCTGCTGTACATCCAACACCAACACCCACCACGCAGACAACAGACGAGACAACTAGCACAGCAGCATACGGGCTGCTGTAGGCCAAGGGCATCCAAGGCACACATCATAGGAGGCGCTGGGTGTGACTTTTACAGCCCCCGTTACCCGCTGTGTGGGCAGCACAAGTGAGTGACGACGCAAGTCAATCTGCGATCCGTCTGCTGCATTATACTCAATCTGCCGATCTTTGGAGCTTCCCACACAGACGCATCCCCAAAACGGAGACAACGAGAGACGTACACACTGCTGTAGGCCAAGGCCGGCCAAAGAAACACATCATGGCTGGCGTCGGAAGCTATTTTTAGACCCCGAGGCCTGCCTCTAGCAGCGCAAGCGAGGGAGCTTGCGTGTGCACACAAGGCAAATCTGTCTGCGGTCTGTCTTCGTCTGCAGGCCGAGCTTTACTTCCACCACCACAGAAGCACCCCCGAAACAGAGACAGTGAGACGTGCACAACGCTGTAGGCCAAGAGCGGCCAAATATACATATCGTAGGAGGCATCGGGGACGATTATTAGAGCCCGTTGTCCGCTGTTAGCAGCGAAAGCGAGGAAAGCATGTGCACAACCATCCTGACGGCAGCAGCAAGAACAGCAGCAGAGTCAGCCATGTACATGTAGCTGATGATTCTGGGAGCTAAACAGCGCTCTCAGCCACCCCCTGACTTGACTGGCGGTGTCGGGCGAGGTGTGAGCGTGTGCCCTGGTGACCTCTGTGGTGGCGTAGGCTCCATCCAGATCTACCTACTGTACGCTTGCTTTGATGTCTCTCTCCGCCCGTTCTTTTCGGGGCTTCGGGTTGCTTCGCGCCATTTTTTTTTGTTGGACCCCTACAAGCTGGGCCAGCCAAGAAGCCAACTCTCGTTGTTTCGCGTCTCATGCTGTCATTTCCACGTAATTAGGCTTGAAATTTGGTGGTTACTCTTATGAGACGATAGGGA